TGCTCCGTGCGCTTTGAAATCTAATCAAAAGTTGTTTACCTCAATTCTTTGGCGTTTCTGCATCGCCCGGCTCTTTCGTTCTTTCAGTGGTTTCTTGTGCTGAAATATGGAGGGGACGGCTCCGGGTTTCAGCCTCCGACGTGCTATTAATGCTTCTCCACCAACAGACTTCATGATAGCAGGATCAACGTCGTATGCATCACACGCAAAGTGGTCAGAACACAACTTGCTCCATTTTGTCGGTTGCCATCCAACACGATTCACTAAAAAAATCCATTTTTTGCGGATGATTTGGTCTTTGGGAAATGCATGTAAAACTCTCCCAGATCCCGCACCGTTCGTACAACAAAAAGCACAACAATAACCCATGGATCAATAAAAAGCTTTTTTTTGGGTGTATTATCTCGATTTAAATCAAATAAAAAATACAGGCAGTCTTAAAAACAACATTTCTATAAAAATGTAGCATATTTGGAAGCTTTGCATTTGATCTTTAAGCTCGCTCCATTGCGGAGATATTCCCGCGAGAGTGCGGAAAACTTAAATGTATTTATTTATTTAAAATGTGCAATGTTACCAATATACTCACGGACCACTAGGGGGCGCTCACGGACCACGAGAAGCACTGGTCTAGACCATAGACTGTATATATAAATGGACGTAGTGTCCGTGACGTCACCCATAGGATTCTGCAGAGTTGCCGTGAAGCCCTTAGTAGGCGGAGTCGGCCACTAACGTCTCGACTGTGACGTCAGAGTCTAATCCCGCCTGCAAAGGGCAAAGAGGCGGAGCCGAGGCGGGACCTGCTGCCTCCGAACTGGAAGTAAACAGAGCTAGCTCAGGCTAAGAAGCTAAGCTAACATGAAATACATGCATACCAAGTTACTGCTAACAGTGTAGTTCCCCTATATAAACGTTACATTCATAATCAAATGAGACAACCTGCAAGAGAATTAGCAATATTTTGTTATTCTTAATGCTTGTCATTCACACGTTGAGAAAAGACGGACTCCACCGCCCGGACCTAACGGAGCCGCAGTGGGCTAGCTCCGGGACACCGGCTGGAGCTAGCCCCCTGCGGCTCAGTTAGCTCCGGCGGCCACCACTGGGATAATTGGGTCCCCTATTAACATTTGCTCCCGTTTAGCATTATGGGCGTCATAGCCATAGACTATAAAAGTCTTACCCAAGGCTGAATCATAAACTAAAATGTATATGTATGCATAAAGGGTTACGTCCTTAGCTGGCTAATAAGTAACAAGCTAAGCTACCAAGCACACAAACACCTGCGAACGGGGTTAACATGTATAATATTATCATTTTAGACTTCTTGGAAGTTCTGTTAGTACATTCAAGCGCACAGCACGACATTTTAATTGTCTGGTATTTGTAACAATATTCCCTAAAAGTTGCTGTTAGCTGACAGTGAGGCATGTACGTGTCCATCAACGTGACCACGCCCTAATTTATGCAAACACTTTAAGACCTAATATAAATAAAAGGGTCGTGTTAGAAAACAATTCACTCACAGATTCATAATCATGAAGGTGGAATCTAACTATATCGATAATAATATTTATAGCATCCATGGGTAGAAACATGTTTTTTTCTGCTGTAAAGTTGGGCATTTTAACATGGGGGTCTATGGAAATTGCTCCTTTCTGCAGCCAGTCCCTAGCGGCCCATGTATGAACTGCAGTGTGTGGCACTTCCGTATTGTTCCCCAGAGTTTGCCGCTTGCTCTAGACCGACAATTTTTTGGAGCTGGAAGTGAACCGGATTCCGGAGCTAAGAGGCGGCGCCTCTACGGTGTGAACAGGAAAAAACTGTACTTTTCAGGCTCCAGCTCCGAGCCGGAGCTGAAAACGCGTTGGTGTGACAGGGGCATATGAGTCAGAGGAGACAGTCACAGACAGAGACATACACGTCCTTGGAGAAATAAATAAAGCTGTCAAGACTATTATAACTCTTAGCTCAACTTGGCCTCAATGGGAATAAGGCAAGATAAACTTAGCCGGTGTAACAATATATATATATATGTAATAATCCAAAATAGACGTATAACTTGAAATAAAAGATCAAACAAATATTAACTTAAAGTGGACCTATCATGCTATATTTGAATATTATATTGTAGGGCCATACCTATATAAAACATGTCTGTGAAGTTTTTTTTTCAAAATACCAAACAGATCATGCATTTTAGCCATGCCTCATTTCACTCTATTTGCTCTATTCCAGCCCTGTTTTTGCAAGGGCTGATTCTGTGGCAAATGAGCTGCAGCTGACCACGCCCCCCTGCAAAGGAGGGGGGCGAGGCACGAGCGTCATGTTACCATGATGTTACCATGCCACGATAGGTGGAGAGTTGCCCATATAGGCGGAGCACCCCGTTTCTGACGTCAGAACAATTTCAAATCTGGATCAGTCTGTATCAGATCCGTTGCAGCCCCGTTTTTTTTAGAGATTTGGGTATGGAGGAAAAGAGAGAGGGTTGTGTTTTCTGACACTTGGTGAGTTCCCTGACACACCGGGGACACATATTCATGTATAAAAGACGTACAAAAGTGCATTTTGCATGATAGGTCCCCTTTAAAGACCCCGTGAAGTGTGCGCCTGTGCATGATCTGTTATGCTAATACGTATAGTAATGACCAAAATTGTCCATTGGAACCATATCAAAAGATGTTGGAATAGCAACGAATTTGACGAGTTTTGAATTTGCCGCAGGGAAATCCGCAGTTGACCTCCGCCTGGGCGTGGCTTGCGATCTACTGCGTGACGTCACGAGATGGTCGCCGCCGAAGTGTTTACATTCATCACAGTTTATTGTTTCTCTGTTTCAAAGTCGAATTTATCAAAGTTTTTGAGCGAGTATTTTACTGGAAAGTGTGTCGGAGTCGACTGGAAGTGATTGCCAATCGAGAAAACCTGACAATGGAGGCGACAGTGAAGAAAAAGGGAGGAAAAACACACGGGAAGCGATGCATTGCCGCTGGCCGTATTAATGTCAAGTCTGCCGAAGTGGCGATGTTTCTGTTCCCAAAAGATGAAGGTGAGCCTGGCTGGTGTCATTGTTTCGTAGATTCGTTGATTGTTCATGACAAATAAAGGCCACTGGTCGATTCGAGAGAGAGAGAGAAAGAGAGACTGAGAGAGTTACAGGGTTGTTGTTAGCATCTGGTGCTAGCTCGGAGCTAACGGAGATTAGCTGTTTCAACAATAAGGAGAGGGAGAGTCCTCTCCTGTGGGACTGAGAGAGATAACGTCAGCTCAGGGAGGTAAAGGACTCTGAGTGATTAGATTGTAAACTGTAGCCTAAGTTATCTCAGTGGGTTTAATAATTTAATAGTTTAATAATACTCTAGCACATGACATGTACATAAGCTAATTATTTCCCAGAGGCTGAGCCCAAGCAGAGATTTTAAACAAGGCAAAGGACCCTTCAGTCTTCCGCCATGTTTACAATCACAACAGGGCCCATCTTGTGACGTCACAGCCGCTATCGTCTGCAACTTCCGGTAGGCTTAGACGGCCGTAATTATTCAAATTAATAATTAATTAAGTAATAATTAAAAATTATTTTAGCCATGAACAGGCGCAATGATATGTAAGGAATGAAACTGCCATTTCATTTTGGCGCAAAAACATGCACTTCACGGGCACTTTAACTGTAAAAGGCAGACTTAATTTGGAAACTTTTATAAATCGCCTGCAAGGGTGCTTGAGCAATACTTGTTAACAAAAGTGTAATTGCAAACTGCCGCTGAGTGAAATCACCTCTGATTAAGCAAGGAATGTGATTGGTCAAATGCAACATGACTATAACAAACCCTCATCCATAGCAACTAATGTGAAAATATGTCGTTGCGGTCAGTCTACTGGGACGTCACACAATTATGTCAGGCGATTATATAGCACCTGCTAGATTGTTTATAACCATTGGGGAATTATATATGCTCACTTTTATTCATTTCATAGTTTTTTATTATTATTATTTTTATCTTGATTTTATTTTGGATTTTATTCATCTGTGTGAATCTGTGCTGTCCTGTTTTTCACCCTTACCCTGTTGCTGTTTGAATTTCCCCACGGGGATTAATAAACGTCCATCTTATTTTATGGGAAATTGGGGGAATTGACTGTGGCTCTGCTTCAACTGTGCGAAAGCCTGTCGTCAGTGATATACGGACCACTTCTCAGTCAGTGCAGATTGTTCTGATAGATGTGTGTCACTTTTGAATCCATAAAATGCAGATTACATTTGTTCATGTCATTTTACAGCAGGCTGAACACAGGCTGCCACTTTCTGCAGCCCTGAAAGCTCAAGCTTTAAACTGAAAATAAAGATGGAGAAGATAGATCAAAGCCTAGGTTGCTGCGGCTGGCTGGAGCCGAGTCTCAGGGTAAAGATGTCAAGTGTGACGTGAGGCAAACTGTTTCCTGTGAAATGAGCAAAAGGTAAAGCAGTAACTCAGCTGCTTCTCGTTTGTTGTGGAGCTTTGATTTGACAAGATACAAGTAGGGGTAACAAAAAAAAAAAGTACATCTGAATTTCTCCTCCTTCACACCCTCTAAAATCCAGATCCCATCCCTGCATTTCAGCCTCCCCAGCTGCCCTTATATTCAAAGGTTGAATCTGCCGTTATAATCAGGCTGTTAGCGGACTGCTCTCTGCTCAGATTAGCCTCTCGGGACTGGTGGCCTCCTGCCGCTGTTAGATCATCTCAGCTCTGCCTCGACACACCCGGCAAACACGTCCACAGAAAGGACCGGGTCACTGAGGCCCCTTACAGTCATGGTGCTGTGAAGCATCAATCAAAAAAGCCTGCAGGAGACTGAATTTTATGACTCCACAAAAAATATCCATATTATTCATCATCTGGAAGGCACAGAGGTCATTCATAGACAGGAATCCATGATAGTTCATTTTCAGGTTTGTAATTTTCTACTAAGCTTCTCAAAATAAGCATTTGTTTTAGCTCCAAGGACAGAATAAAAAAAATAAAAAAGATGCTTTATTTTTTATATATACGTTTAGTTTATGAGCAGTTTTTGACTTCAATACACATTTTATTGAATGAACGGATCCAATCAATTCAGATAAGTCAAGTTAATAATCAATGAATTATTAGAAATGTTATCCAACGTATATGTTGAAATGTCAGCCGGTAGACACAGTTTCATGTTTTTGCTTGTATAGTTAAGCACTGACTTAAGTCTTCATGTCTCTTCACTTAAGCTAAACCGTCAAGATACACATTTAATTCATAAACATTTTAAGACAGGAGAAATTAATACATCCTCATTGTTATATGAGCCCCTGTTTTTCTGACAGACAATTATACAAAGAATACCATTTGAATAGATTTTAGACTAAAAAACACAAACAGATCTTACACACGTTACAAAATGTCAAAGGAGCAGCAACAATCCAAACTTCTTTCAAAACACGGGCTTACAAAGTTAAAATAAAAACAATAAAATACTAACCACAATCCCCTGTGGTCAAATCCTACTCTCCTAGGCCTTAGTGATGTAGCCTTCCTTAATTAGGAAATCATAGATTTTGCGAGTTTTGTTCACATCGATCTTGATGAGCGCGCGGGCCTGAGCCAGCCGCAGCCCCCCCTGCCGTCTGCACTCATTCAGCAGAGCCTGCTTGTATTCCAGGTAAGCCCCCGGCACCAGCCGCACCACCTGGCATAACTACAAGCACAACACACATACAAGGGTCAGTGAGGTACATTTAAAAACAAATACAATTTCTTATTTAAAGTGGACCTATCATGCTATATTTGAAAAATATATTGTAGGGCCATACCTATATAAAACATGTTTGTGAAGGTTTTTTTTCCAAATACCAAACGGATCATGCATTTTAGCCATGCCTCATTTCGCTCTATTTGCTCTATTCCAGCACTGTTTTTGCAAGGGCTGATTCTGTGACTACAGCGCCACTTACATGCCTGGCATATGTACTACAGCGTCTCCAGCGCTTTCGAGCGGTCTCATGTGAACGGACACGTTCGTGGCCCAACCCCCCATTCCCCTGATAGGTGGAGAGTTGCCCATATAGGCGGAGCACCCCTTTTCTGACATCAGGAACATTCAAATCTGTATCAGATCCTTTGCAGCCCTGTTTTTAGAGATTTGGGTATGGAGGAAAAGAGAGAGGGTTGTGACACTTGGTGAGTTCCCTGACACACCGGGGACACATATTCATGTATAAAAGACGTACAAAAGTGCATTTCGCATAATAGGTCCCCTTTAAGGCCTCAGTATATTAAAAACAAGGAGCTTGTCAGATCAGTGTCTGAAACTCCAGTAGTAGAGGTAGTATAGCAATGTCTGCAACTGACAATTAGACCCAGTTCAAGACATATGGACAGGCGAGTGGAAGCGTCAATACAGTACACAGTTTTGGTCAAGACTGAAAACTCAACAACAAATAAATGGACCGTAATGAAGTTAGTCGTGATATTGTTATTATTGATGTTCCCATAAGAATTCATCCTACCAACTTTCATGATCCTCTGACTTATAATTAAGCACCAAAAGCAGGTCTGATGTGCTAAGATGGTGAACAACAACATACCTGCCTCAAATCAGCATGTTAGGATTTTCAAACAACTACAGCCTTACAGAGCTGCTGCCTTGTCTTTGGACTCTTAGCCTAGCTGGTACAGTGAAATCTCTCCAGTGTAAATCCTATCTGCACTACTGTGTTAAAGAGGCGAGAATTTTCAATTAAAAGCTGACTGGGTTCTAGCTAAACACACTGTTTAACACGTCTCCACCTATTATTATGTAATTATCATGAATGCATATGTGATACTGGAATACATTTAGTGCCATTTTGGCTGGTAGGTAGTTTTTGCTTTTTAGATGTTGTCGAAAAAGTTATAAGACTTTAGCATAATGAAGTAATTTTTTAAGACCCTTTGGACTCAGATAAGAAAGAGCTGTACCTCTTTCTCCCGCTCATCAAGTTTCTCTGTTCCCGGCAGTCCAGTCAGGTTCAGAGGGGGGGCGCTCCGCCTACCTGTTGCTGTGGAGGAGACATTCAACAACAGTCAAACAGGCTTGTAGCACCCTAGTGTTGGTCTACATTACAAATAATAGCAGGCGGACAAAATGCAGTCAATTCCTTTGCTGGGAGGGGACAGGGAAACAAATATTTAGTCTGTTTATTCAGTGTGTTTCATATTGTGTGAATATAGCAGCGTGGGAGTCTGCGTCACATTTTTGCTCTAGAGGAAAGGGAGCTAATTTAAAGGGTAAAACCAGCAAGATAAATAAGCATGCAGGCCAGGGGTCTATTTCTCGAGTGTATTTCTGGAGAAGCGTGTGCATTAAATGTGACTGTGCCTGGGGCCGTGCCAAGGAGACAGAGAGGAGGAAGAACAGAGGGGGAGGAGATAAGCTCTGTACCTGACACTGTGATTGTTGTGACAGCTGGAGTGATACCAGCGTCTCTGTAATGAAAAAGAAAAGTGTTAGCATCTCTGCAACTTATTTATACACACAAATATACACGCAAGTCCAACACTATTACTCCTGGGCTTTGTCCACTATTCTTTAACCTCACTGGGATCGTCATCCAAAAGACATGAATCATCTTTGCTGATTTGTTCAACCTGTCTTTGTCCACCTGTGAGTTGCCGACTATTTGGAAATGTGCACGCATCATTCCACTGCATAAAGGTGGTGATTTACTTGATACAAATAACTATAGACCAATCTCTATAATCTGTTCTATTTCCAAAGTTTTGGAGAAAATAATTTATAATCAACTGTCACATTATCTCAATACTTATAATATTTTATCTTCGGTTCAATCTGGTTTCAGGCCTAATCAATCCACAACAACTGCCCTACTTAAATTACGAATGACTTGTACTCTACTGCAGATGATGGTGAACTCACAGGTGCCATTTTTATTGACTTGACAAAAGCCTTTGATTTCGTTGATCGATATCTGCTCTTGGATAAACTTCACGGCATTGGCCTTTCTAATAATACAGTGTTATGGTTTAAATCGTACCTTCACAGTAGAAAGCAATGTGTGGTTGTCAGTGTTGTAGTCAAGTCACCAATTCACGAGTCCAAGTCACTCTCGAGTCACCACTCTTGGAGTCCAAGTCCGAGTCACCAAGGGAGAGTCGTGGTCGAGTCCAAGTCCGAGTCACCCAAGGAGTGTCCGAGTCATCATTACCTGTGTTCGAGTCCAAGTCCAAGTCCGAGTCACCCAAGGAGTGTCCGAGTCGAGTCCGAGTCATCATTACCTATGTTCAAGTCCGAGTCACCTAAGAAGAGTCCAAGTCAAGTCTGAGTCACAAGTCTTCATGTATTAACCTTCGTGGATATATGTGTTGAAATGTAGCTGCTCCTCTACATTGCTTTTATCCTGTCATGTTATACTAATCTGTCTATTGAACTGCTGTGAAGCGTGTTTGGCTACAATTCTTGTAATAGGTGCTAAAGCTTATTACTAATATTAATATTATTATTGTAAATGACCTTTAATATGTCTAACTATATTTAAAATGAGTTACCTTTTAGAGAAGTGATTATATTTGTATGCCAATATTTTCCTATGGTAAAGTTTTCGTTTTGCACTTTTATTTTGATAGTAATAAGATCGGGACTTTTATTTTGAAGGCACTTTTACAGGTTAACTACTAATAAAGATTTAGCCCCAGAAAGCACATGGCTACTTAGCATGCAAAATGATGTCATTCTGCATGTTAAGTAGCCATGTGCTTTCATGTTGGCTGAATCTTTATTTATTGATTAGATCACGTTACTCTGATGATAGTGTTCAAGACAGCCTATATAATAATAATAATAATAGCTTGGATTTATATAGCGCCTTTCAAGGGACCCAAGGTCGCTTTACAAGTAATAGGGCAAAAACAAACATAACAAAACAAAAGTCAGACAGACAAAACAACAGATCGATTTAGAGGCCGAAAGCCTTGGCAAACAGATGGGACTTGAGGGCCCTTTTGAAGGCGTCGAGTGTGGGGATGTTGCGAATCTCCGCAGGGAGAGCGTTCCAGAGGGTGGGGGCTGCCACACTGAAGGCTCTGTCCCCGAAGGTTCGCAGTTTGGTGCGGGGGGTGGGAAGCAGGCCAGAGTCTGAGGACCGCAGGTTCCAGGGTGGGGCATGTGGGTGAAGGATTTCCTATAGGTACTGGGGGGCAAGGGCATGGAGGGACTTGTAGGTAAGGAGGAGGACTTTGTAGGATATGCAAGACTTGACCGGCAACCAGTGTAGGTGGATGAGGGTGGGAGTGATGTGCTGCCACGGCTTTGTGTGCGTGAGTACCCTAGCAGCACAGTTTTGGACATACTGGAGCCTGTCCGGGGTTTTGTTGGGAACCCCGAACAGGACACCATTGCAGTAGTCCAAGCGGGTGGTGACAAACGCATGCACTAGGGTTTCGGCAACCGACTCCGAGAGTGACGGTCGGAGTCTGGCAATGTTCCTTAGGTGGTAAAAGGCCGATTTGGTCACAGATTTGACGTGGGAATGGAAGGAAAGGGTGGAGTCGAGGATGACACCCAGGTTGCGGGCTTCAGGAGATGGGGAGATGGAGCAGCCGTCGACCTCGAGGACGAAGTCACCAACCTTCTGGAGCAGGGCCTTGGGTGCCACAACCATGAGCTCTGTTTTATTGCTGTTCAGCTTAAGATAGTTGGAAGACATCCATGTTTTGATGTCATGCAGGCAGTTGATGAGAGACTGTGGGGGGAGCTGGGAGGATGGAGTGGTGCTGAGATACAGTTGGGTATCATCAGCGTAGCAGTGGAAATTGAGTCCATGATGTCGGATGATCTGGCCGAGGGGGAGCATGTAAATGGTGAACAGGAGGGGGCCAAGCACAGAGCCCTGGGGTACACCGTGGTGGACTGGGGCCGGGGGTGAGTTTGAGCCACTGATGGAGACAAACTGTTTCCTGTTGTGGAGGTAGGATGTCAACCAGGACAGTGCTGTGCCAGTGACACCTAGGAGGTCTGAGAGGCGGGTGAGGAGGATGTTGTGAGAGATGGTGTCAAACGCTGCAGAGAGGTCCAGGAGGATGAGGATGCTGAGGCGGCCAGAGTCAGCAGCAATGAGGAGATCGTTGGTGATCTTGATGAGGGTGGTCTCAGTGCTGTGTTGCTGTCTGAAGCCGGATTGGAAGGGCTCATAGAGCTCATGGTTGGACATGTACAGATGGAGTTGGCCGGCGACCACTCTTTCCAGAGTTTTGCTGAGGAAGGGAAGGTTGGAGATTGGCCGGTGGTTCTGGAGGTCGTCAGGGTCCAGGCCAGGTTTTTTGAGTATGGGGGTGACTGAGGCCATTTTGAAGCTGGTGGAGACTATACCAGGAGCCAGAGAAGCGTTGATGATGACCACCATGTAGGGACAGAGGGTGGGTAGGCAGTCCTTGACCAGGGCTGTGGGCATATGTCTGAACTCGATCCTTAGAGTAATGTGTTACGGAGCCTTCTCTTCAATATTGTTTTCACATAACAGCATTTTGCGCTGCTCTTTTCCAATGTGGAAGCAGAATGTGTGAAAGCATACAGCACGATGCGGGGTGTGTCTCTAGACATCTCTAGACTGGAATAGCGGGGCCCAGTCCGTGAACTCGCCTCACAGGTGCATATGCCAGGATAGAGTACAAGTCGAGTCCGAGTCATAGTGGGAGGAAAAATTCACGAGTCAGAGCGTCAATGTACAAGTCGAGTCCGAGTCATCGTGGGGGGGAAAATTCACGAGTCCTAGTCCAAGTTAGCGTGCGCAAGAATTCACGAGTCCGAGTCACGTCAATCAGTGCGCGAGTCCGAGTCGAGTCACGAAAATCGGCACTCGAGTCTGACTCGAGTCCGAGTCCAGGACTCGAGTACTCCATCTCTGCTGTTAATGGAAAACAGTCTGACCTGTTGATCCAACAAAAGGGTGTACCCCAAGGATCAACTCTGGGCCCACTTCTGTTTTCTATTTACATAAATGATTTATCTTCTTGTCTCATTAATTGTTGGACTCACCTTTATGCTGATGACACTGTCATATATACATCCAAATCTGATTTTTCACAAATTCAGATCTCTCTTCAATTGGATTTTAATATCTTACAGGACTGGCTATCACACAATAAACTACTGCTTAACAAAACAAAATCTTATACCATAGTCTTTGGTACCAGGCAGAAGCTCAAATCCAAACCTAATAACATGTAAGGATGGCACTTTTCTGCATAAAGTTGATAGCTTTAAATATCTTGGTGGATGGCTAGACTCTGAACTTTCATTTAAACTACATATAAAGCATGCAATACAAAAAGTCAATTACGGAATCAGTGTTTTACACCGCTCTCGCAATTGTTTTACGCTCAGTGTCCGAAAGAGAATTGCTTCTCAACTTATTCTTCCGATTATGGACTATTGTGATGTTGTCTACCAAAATGCACATAAATCAGATCTTGCTCCACTCAACATAGCCTACAATAGACTATGCAGATTTGTTCTTGGTTGTCCTTTTCGTACACATCACTGCACAATGTATAACCAACTTAAATGGCCTTCTTTAAATGTAAGAAGACACACGCATTGGCTTCAGCTGATATTTAAATGCATTTATCTTAACTATCCCCCTTATTTAAAGCAGTATTTTGTACCCTACTCGCCAAATCATCAAGTTAGACATTCTGTTCAGATTTATTTCTCTGTCCCCTCTGCAAAAAAATTGATTGGCAGAAGAGTGTTCATTTTCAAAGTCCCAACAGACTGGAATACTTTACCTGCTGCTATTAGATCTCTTGCATCATTGGGTTTATTTAAACACGCATTATCATCTCACTTTCAACTGGTCTGTACTTGTTATTAATTAAACTGATATTGATGAAAATTGTAATGATTGTGTGCATTGCTTGAATTTCACTTAACAGACTGTATGTGGTTTGTCTTGTGTGTCATGTTTTGCATTTTGTCTTTTTGTTTATGTATGTCTGTAAGTTGTTGCTATTGTCGGGACCCCCTTGAAAACGAGATGGTGCATCTCAAGGGGTTTATCCCAATGAATACAAATGTCTATATATATCTCATTCAAGATTTTCTTTCACGTCAATGATTAAAGGATCTTGGATATCACACACAGAAAATACTTTGTGAGCAGCGTCACATTAAAATGACTAAAAATACCAAAGAGACTGAGACTAAAGTGCACAGTAACATGAATGACTGCCGTATTCGTCTCAGCTCGCCTGTGCTGAGTGTAATGACGGCGGTCAGCGACTCTTCAGCAGCCCTCCTGTTACACACTCGATAACAAGCAGGAAGTCTCACATTGCTGCCTGTTTGCTGAGCCACTGCTGGCAGGCTCTGCCGTCCTGGATGTACTGCAGCACGTCACACAGCATGGTCCGCTTCCTCCGCTCCTCCTCACGCAGACGCTTCGCCCGCTCATACACCTTGGCGCCTGAGAGTTGGAAACACAGAGAGAGGTCAGTAGAGACTTCATGAGAGCGGAACTTTAAACAAAGTTTGTTCAGGGTAGGGACCAATGTCTCATTTCCACTGCAGGCTTCGTCTTGACAACTCATTTTGATAAAATGTATTTTTCTACTTTGTTTTCCACTGCAGATAGTAGCCCCTAAAAAGGGGACTGCCGTGTCATAATCTGAAACATGACTCATCAATTTATGGTGTACAACATAGTTTTGCAGTCTGCCATTTAATAAAAAGTCTGGGTGATATAACATTTCGGTTGTGGTTGCTATTTAAGGTAACTTGGTTGTTAAAGATCACAGGTTTGTGCACCCTCTGAAAGTGATGATGGGGAATTTAGAATTTAGGTTAGACTACTCTACTTTTTTATTAAAAAGTTAGGCCTAAAATATGCCTATGCCAGGAATTCTAAGCTAGATAAATAGAAATACAATAATCAGTTTCAATCTGTGCAAAGCTTCCGCAAACTAGCGAAACATTATAAATTCCTAATAATTATACACTGTGATGCTGCTATAAATAATAATTAAAACATCACATTTAAAGCCAAACTCAAATGGAAACGTAATTTGCATCTTTTATGTTGTAACTGATGGAGGAATGAAAAACAGACTCACTGCAGAAAGACTTGATTCCTGCCTTCCTGTACTCCTTCAGCCTGCGGATCTCTCTCCTCAAGTCAAACTCCACTGAAAGGAAAAGGAGAAGAAGGAATAGTATAGATACATTTAAAATAAAAACCTTGACAGTGTGGGGTAATGTGATCATTTGCTTTAGATTTAGGGGATTATTTAGATAAAAAGATTGATACCACTTCTAACAATGAGAGTATTTCCCCAAAGGTAAAAGCCCTCTTTTCAAATGAAATCAAATCAAGTTTTATTTATATAGCATATTTATAAACGATTTTTGGTCGAGCCAAAGTGCTGTACATATAATAAAAATAGCCTACAGTAGAGACACTTTACAGCAAATACAACAGCACAGATTGTTCAGAATATCAGTATGAGAAAAACGACACCCTCTGTCCTTAGACCCTCACATCATACAAGGAAAAACTTCCAGAGAAAAACCCACAGTTTAAGGGAAGAAAATGGGAGAAACCTCAGGGAGAGCAACAGAGGAGGGATCCCTCTCCCAGGACGGACAGACGTGCAATAGATGCCGTGTGTAAATCGAAGAGATAATACATTTTACAGCATTTGGAGTGTGTATGAAAAGTAGGACATCTTATCTTAGTACTCTTCTTGTTGGATTTTCATTTGTAAAAGAGAAGGAAGCAGTCTGACATTGCCTTCCCACAAAAATAAAAACACAACATCATTTGAAGCCTCAATCGTCAGTAGTGTTGAGGCAGCTGGAAAGAAGTGGTTAAATGAATTCTCTGTGACTGACTCCCAGAAACTATTCATCTGTACTCGGGCAGATACTAACATGCATGACTCTCAATGAATTTGTCATGTTCAATCGGCCCAACCACTCTGGCAAAGCGTCTCATGACATCGTACAGCTCCTGCACCTCCTTTGGGTAACATCGCTCCAGCACTGGAAGAGAGAGGAGTAGAGAAGTGAGTGGACAGAAGACACGAACAAAGATATAATAGATACATTAAATAAAAATCCACCTTTTCTCTTTATGTTTCCCATTAATGACATCTCCTAACTATGTGCTATTGGTCATAGCATCAAACTGCTAGCAACAACACAGAGGGCTTGACGATTACGCACAAGTCAGCCCAACACAGCAAAAACATGCAATCCTCTGCAACTTCTTTTTTAAAAATACTAAGAATCTTTAGCCATGTCATCGGCTCAGCTTCAGAATTGTATCTCTGAAAGCACCACTGTTTGACTCTGTGGGGCTTACGGGTAATGTGTTACCTCGATATCTAGTCATGAATGTTTTACAATTTGTCCAACATCCAAACAGGGAGCAGAGATTCACATTTCATCAATAATAGCAGCCATTTTAGGTAAGTGTTAATCAGAGCCAGAATGTATAATTCATTGTAGATTTATTTTCCTTTCTTTTACAAAATGATCCCTAACCCTAGTTACAAAAGCTGAATAAGAAAAATATTTTAAAACCTCAGATAGAGCAACAAACCGCTCCCTGATATTTGCTCAGCAGTTGTGTATTCCCCACCACTTAGCTCACTCTCAAGAGCATGTTGCGTTTGTCTCAAAGCATTGCTCGTGTTGCTGAGTAACAGACAAGTGCAGAAGCCAGAGGTATGAGGAGTGTGTGTTTGTGTGTGTTCATCAGGCTTTTGCATGTAAGTGCTAATGAGCAGCTGCCATGGGTGAAGTTCCTCATGCTAAACAGGTGAAGTTATGCGCTTTAACAAAACAGTGGAGACACAGTCAACGTTCTCACCAAGACACATTAGCACTGGACCTCTGGTTACACTCCTTCACTGACCAGTGACCACACACTAAAAAAAACTGTCTTGAATTTTAATGCAACAACCCTTTACAGGACTTCAGACGGACTGCTGCCCTGAAACAACAACGCTGGTCAGTCTGCCTCCTGCACTCCCTGAGACATGACACTGTGAGCCTCCGGGGCTCGGATACTGCCTCCATTATGGCATGTGACACACACACACAGACGCACACCGTAGAGACACACGGTCTTTGACAGTCTCCATGACAACGAGTGCAGCTCTAAAGCTACTTTGAGTTCTTTTTGTCTAAAAAGACTCGGGCGATAAGGGAATGGAGGGAGGGGAAAAGGAGCCGGTCTAACTGCAGGCTTGAGGATACATAAATAAAGGATGTGGGGAGAACTCTTCAACTTCCAAACCGCAGACAATTTCACAGAGCAACACGTAGAGATAAAATGATGGGATGGGTGGTCGGTCATAGTAAAAAAGAAAGAAAAAAACAACCCCTCGCCGTCTGTCTGACCTCTGATGCAAAAACCCAGGAGATGCAAAGAATAACATTACAGAGCTCGCTGAAATCCAACCTGTGGCAGGTGGATCAATAAACCCAGCCCCCTGCATTTCAGTCATTATGACAGCATCGCTCATCGTACGGGGATCTACTTGCAGAGAAGCAATTATGCTGTGGCACACTCTGGCCCACAGACTATTCGCAGCCCTGATCATAAACACGAGATCTGTTGCCACACTTCAGCCACCCGAGGGGCCATAGAGGTTGTTATTACACTAAAGCTGTTTGCATGCATCCCTAGAAATCCTCAGCAGCAATTTGGCTGCTTGATATCAGATGCCTCGCTGAGTTGCTATGAATACTGTCGCAGCCGAGCCCGTGTAAGTTTCACAGTGGCACTTACTCTGGAATTTGCGCAGGTTGATCAGCCCGTGGTCTCGGATTACCCTGAAAGAAACGGAGATTTCGATTAATGACTATGCAAATGTAATATTTTGATTGCTCTGCAACAGTAAACCTGGTGTTTAGCCATATGCAATTAAAACCATTGAAAACTCATTATATACTGATCATCTGTCTTGTACACAGCAGCTTGGTGATGTTAGTTCAAAAAGGCTCTCCCTTTATAAGTGTACTCTGAAGTTCAGGGGTCAGGTGAGAGGGTCTCGGCCCGTGTCAATTGCCTGGATCCCCTCTGACAAGCTACCAGTTAGCAGAGATGAAATAAGGACCTTGGAAAGAGGGAACTTGGAAACACACATGCCATTCACTGTGCTCGGGGGGAACAAACTCTTTATAGTTGATTTAGTGATGGATCCATCACAGTGAGGATTGATGATGGATGTTCCAGAATGCCAGCTGACAGGCTGAAAGTGGAGGAGATCCTCTAGAAATAGCACCAACTGATTAACAGCTTCAAGTGCAAATAATGTATTCTTTATAGAAAATTAACAGTGAATAGGGCTGCAATTATCCATTATTCCATCCCACCTCCTGTAACGGCTTGTTTTGTTTGATCAATAGTTCAAAACACATGCTAATTATACGCAGAAGACCCTTTATTAAGTACACTTAGCTTAATAATATCCTACCGTCATGAAGGTTATGATGTTCAGTTTTGAGAGATGTAACTTAAACTGTATGATCATTTTGAAGAATGTAGTTTGTGGTACTATGGAACTGTTACGTGTTAAATTAATAACAAACATGATTGACATTTAGTTGACTATCTGTATAATAGTTAGGATCTCGCAGCTTGTGTGTTGCACCTGATTGAATCCCTGTGGCTTGTAATTAGAACCTGAAAAAAGGTTTAAATATGCAACAATAATCACTCTGCTGAACAACCCCAGTCTCCCTGGACTTGTGTCTTTAATGTGAAGCAAAACTAAATAATAATAGATTTTAGAGTAAAAACGATGAATATATTAGCATGTCAATTCGAATTAATGAATATAAATAAAGTTCAGACTGATTTCTAAATTGTTTGCCTTGTACATTTTAATTCAGTATAACATTAATTAATTCATCCTGAAAGCATGATACATATCTGTCAGAAATGAGGCTCCAAAAGGTCAATGTAGAGGCTTACAGTGCCATCTGATGACAGACAGGGGTCATTACATGATGCAGAGTACATCAATTCTAGGTTCATGATTTGATGGAGAAAAAAAGGACTTACTTTTTTCTCCGCTGTCTCTCTTTTAGTCTTGAATGATAAATATCAACAACAGACAGCTTGAGAGCTGGAAGAGAATAGTACATATGAGGAAATATTGCAGTTCAAATCATTGTCTACTATTTAAAAAAAAGTATTTTTCCAAATGATATTAGAATTCTACTCACCACGTAGGATGTCCGAATCATCATCGACAAAGTCGATATCTTTTAAATCCCACTCCGCATAGTTGTCAAACTCCTATCAGGACAGTGAAACAATTATTTGCATAAGATTGTGGCTCAATTTTAATATTCCCGTTAACATTTAACTGATTAGTGATCTCAGATCAGTACTCATGTAAGAAAATAAGTCTGGGTGAAAGCAAACTATTGGCAATAAGGGCATGAGTAACTGTCTTTATTAAATGTAATAATGAGTCGCCATTGTTAGCACACAGAAGATAAGGAAACATGTATCCCCTCACCTCCATGAAGTCTGCTCTGGCAGGCATGTATCCTGCCATGTCTCTGGACAGCACTGAGTCAAAAGTGGGCCGAGGGGGGTCATCAGTGGCTGTAACATCAGAGAAACACATTATTAGCACTTTAGAATAAAAATAAAATCTTAGTATTATGCACAAAACCAAGAATTAGCCACTTGCTACAGTCTCCCAAGATATGGTTTAACATTGCGAACAGTATTCATTAGAAATATCAGTTTTTTTCTCTGCCTTGAGTTTGCTAACTGCTCAGTGAACATTACAGGTGGAGAACGACAGATGGAGACCTGAAGCCAACTAGAAACTGAGAAAGTTCCTGACTCGCCAACTGCTTCTCTCTAAATGGTCAGTGGCTCTCAGGCTACTCATTTCATTTGACTTTGTTATTTCAATGTAAACCTTTCTTCTGGTGGCTTCTAAGTGCCAAAAACCAGCATTACTGTCATTTTCAAAGCGGACAGTATACTGCTTCATGTTAATGCAGACAAGTTACAAGGCTGGGAATGGAAACAGATAACTAAACCAACTTATTTGATTGTCTGTTCGCTACATTTCTGTGGAGATGTGAGTAGAGAATAACTACTGAAATTGCTGATTCTTATTCTTCCTGAAACATTAGTGAAAACCATATTGAAGGAGGCAGATGATGTGGATACTGACGTTTAAAAGGAATAGCTCCCTCTGCAAAGCGGGAGTCTTTTGTTTTTCGGAGGCTGAGCAAAGTGGAGGAAAATAGTGGATTGTTGATGAAATTCTTCATGTAGTGGCTCTCACACTCCTCTTTGGTCTTAGTGCGCATCTGATATGCCACATCCTGCCTGCAGAAGAACAAATGAACAAATACAAATGTAAGTGTAAAGCAATATTTTAAATCGTTTGCCATGGTATGTGAATATATCCACAAAGTAGTACATATTTGTAACATATCAAATAGTAAAGTACACAATACAGTGTTATTGAAACATATGTTGGTCCTCTAAATGCTAACTGAAAAGGTCCTTCACTCAAGATTTCAGAAAACGAAATTGATCCCACTAAATTATTGTTTTAATTGCAAGCTTTTAACACTTACAAAGCGTTTTCAAACATTCATTAAAATATGTCAGTCTGCAAAATATATATTTTTTTGTCTAATTAAATGAATATGAAATGTGAGGGAGAAGATTAAGATTACATCTAGGCAAACCAGTTCTTAAGTTAATCTTGAGACCATCTGACCAAGATAATAAACTGAAAAAGTTACAAATCACTCACCAGTTTCCAAAGCCGCAGTCCATGACTGCTTCCAAGAGGGCCATCTCTTCCTGTGCCGACCACCCAGACTCCAGCACAGGGAAGTCTGATGTCTGTTTTATGAGTAAAAAGTGAGGGTAAATAAATACTATGCCTGAGTGTGGTGATTGTCTGTATGCAAGACGTGTTTGAATGTAACTTACCATGATTTCATATTTGTGATCACTCTCATGCTTCTTGAGTTCAAATCCTTTGGTGAAACACTGAAATTAAAACATTCAATTTCAGTCTAGGAATAAACAAGAGCTCTGATAAAAATGTATATGCATTTACTGTCTACTCACCTGGAGGCAGAGTAGAAAAGGTAAGGGTCCACATTCTGCACACTTGATGTAAGGCTCAGTTAGATAGGATGAGCATCCTCTGCATGGTGGTTTATCAACATCATCTGAAGTGGACATGATTAGTGATTAATCACTGCCGACTAACAGGGCAAACTATTATATCATTATTAGCTAAAATGAAAACTGAACACTTACTTAGAGAATGTCTATTAGTACAAATGTATCTTAAAGTGGCTCCTAAGTGATAGCCAGCACTGCTAATGTAAACAAACCACTGCTTATAACGGTAGCTTCGATGCTAACGCTACTTATGAGAGCTAAACTAACATTAGGTCTAAATATCTTAACTTAACAGCATATCGTGTCGAACATGTCTACAATAAAATAGAAAACGGACTGTTTATAGTCAACACATCTATTACATTGCGGCATGTGTGTACGCTATGTGCTAACGATAGCAGAACTATGCTAGCTGCAACGAAGCTAACATGGCAAACTATAGGTAACTTTAGAAACGAGCAGTGTGTTTACTGTAAAGCTGCAGCGGTAACATTAACTGCCGATACTTACTTCCAAAAGATGCCAAACGATCCATAAGACAACGTTTTATCACAAATAAAAGCAGAATAAATGATGCTCTTCTTCTCCTTTCAGGTTTGAAGGTTTCTGGAGTCCTAGTGTTGCATTACTGCCATCCTCTGGAAAAGGAGAAGTATTAGAATCTAAGGAATGGGATGTCACAAAAGCTCCTGTAGGGGTAATGTGTAGATGACCAAATACTTTTGTCTATGGTATATAGACAAAAGTAATCGGACACTCCTCTTACTCATTGAATTAAAGTGTTTGTAATGTGTAGGTGACCCAATACTTTTGTCCATATAGTATACAGAGACAAAAGTATCCTCTTAATCATTTAATTCAGGTGTTTCATTCAGCCCCATTGCCAGGGGATTCTTAATGCTTCATTTTACCAAGTCATTTTGGACAATTCTATGCTTCCAACTTTGTGGAAACAGTTTGGGGAAGGTCCTTTTATGTTCCAGCATGAATGTGCCCCAGTGCACAAAGCAAGGTCCATAAAGGCATGGTTGGATGAGTTTGGTGTGGAAGAACTTGACTGGCCCGCACAGAGCCCTGACCTCACCCCATTGAACACCTTTGGGATTAACTAGAATGGAGATTTAGAGCCAAGCCCTCTCATCCAACATCAGTGTCTGACCTCACAAATGCTCTTCTGGATGAATGGGCAACACAATTCCCACAGACACACTCCAAAATCTTGTAGAAAGCCTTCCCAGAAGAGTGGAAGTTGTTATATCTGCAAAAGGGGAGCTACTCCATATTAATGCCTAACAATTTGGAAAGGGATGTCATAAAAGCTCCTGTAGGTGTAATGTGTAGGTGACCCAATACTTTTGTCTATATATTGTGCTTCATTCAGTCCCATTGCCACATGTGTATAAAATCAAGCACCTAGCCATGCAGTCTGCCTTTACAAACATCTGTGAAAGAATGGGTCGTTAGATGTCATTATTGTTAGTGGCTCTTTTCTATTTTCCCCTAGTCTAATCACTCTCAAACAGTGGTGTTAAGTACATTTACTCATACTGTACTTAAGTAACATGTTTGAGGTAATTGTATTTCACTTGAGTATTTCCATTTTATGTTACTTTGTACTTCTACCCTACTACAATTCAGAGGTAAATAGTGTACTTATACTCCACTGCATGTATGTTGTAGTTACTTTGTAGATTTGGATTAATAATGTGAAATATCAACACAACAAAAAAAAACATTTACAAGCTAGCATACAGTATACAACATCATTCAAGTTAGCTCAAACTTGATCAGCTATGATAAACACAATCATGCATCAATAATTATAATCAAAACACATAATATATTTTTGTAAATTGTAAATTGAGTAATTTCACTTTTGGCACTTTAACTACATTTTGATGCTCATTTTGAATGCAGGACTTACTTGTAACAGAGTATTCCTACACTAGTATACTTTTCCAACCTTTGCTCTCACAACACAAAAGTTACAGAGAAGATATCGTTAGTTATTCATTTCTAGAGGTATGGAGATAGTCACCCAATAATATAAAGTTACAAGTCTGGTGCTCTCTTTTTCTGTCTCAATAAAAATAGAGTTGTTGAAAATGGTTGTCCTGCCTTGTTCTTTTAATTACTTAGAAGGCCTCTAGCACATTATGATGGATGACTACTCATCCAATAGTTGACTATGGGCCTGGATACTTTTTTTAAATGCATATTCATAAACCACATTTCAAAAACCTAACCTAACTTTGATCTAAATAAACGTTACAAGTATTTCATAAAATGACTGTGTTATTCACCCTTTTACCACAAGGCGTCGGTATTGCATCATTTATGTTTAGAAAAAAAAATCAACGCCTTGCAAGTCTCTCTTTGTCTTTCCCTGAGCACACACCACCACATGAGCCATGTACAGGCCAGTTTGTGTTAGGTTGGATAATGGCCAGACAGATATTTTCCCCCTTCGTAAATCTCACCATTACAAAATCACTTGCCTTAAAAACAACTTACTCTAATAGAATAAATATCTTCCATTCCTGATATTTTCCAGTGCAGGTGTCCAGCTCTGGCCCCTTATCAAATACAACTCCTGTGGCTCAAGGACACCCCTGGTGACTGCACTTCAGGGGATCTGGCAAACAACAATCTAAAAACCTTGACACATAATACTTCTACTCTGCATGTCTCAAAACCACAAAGTCAGAAAGCATAGTTATTGTGTGATTTGGGTAAAAAAGGCATTTGATTCAGTACAGATGGGACATTAGCTGCAGCTAGCTGGAAATCATCACAGAGCAATGTTATGGTCAAACTAGGCCCAGCTCCTCACATTCAAATATGCCACCTTTTTGAGAATTAGGGAGGAATTATATAATATAATTGAATTAAGATTCCAGTAAATAAAAGTAAAATGTAGCTTTTATTTTAGCAAATACTTTATGTAATGCAAGAGTTTTAAACCCATAAAGGGAAAGTAATGTGGCCTTTAAACCACACATTGGGTTAAATGTGAGTGTTCTTCTTGTGTCTTTTTACCCTGAGCCATCTCTGTGAGGACGATCCACAGAGACAAGGGCGTTCAGTTGCTTCGTACATTACGACCAGTCTCCTGACCCTCTGGGGGTTCCTTAGACTTCTGGGGAAGGATTCAGTCAGCGTGGGGTCCCTGTGCAACACCCATCTATATGAATAAGGACAGAGCGGCCTCCCGACAGACCGTGCACAATAAAGGGACAGTTGTATTTGCTTCTCTGTAGAGTTTCCAGCTAACTGCCATAATGCATTTTGTTTAACAATCCATTGTGGTCGTTACGATTTATTTGTCTTTAAAAAGGGGAACTTCCCTTTCTGTGTGACAGTTGGCAGTTTTACCTCGAACAACCCTCACTGAGGCCCAGAACAACTGTATTGAACAGCCAAACATGACACCTTTTTGAGATTTCTTCCTCCAAAATAATGGTAGTTGATGCTGATATAACAAACCCCCCTGTGAGAACAAGAAGAGTTTGGAGCCACAAGAGCAGAGTGAGATCCAACACTGCTGTTGGGCTATAAGGCCTGGCTCTGCTTTCAGTGCTGTAATTCATCCTAAAGGTGTTGGATAGGTTTTGAGGTTAGGGCTCTGTGCAGGCCAGTGAAGTTATTCTACGCCAAACTGAATAAAGAAAACTTGGCAAACTAGAAATGGTTGCCACAAAGTTGGAAGCAAATATTATGATATTGCAGCATTAAGATTTCCCTGTATCAGAACTAAGGGACCAAAAACATGCAAGGAGGGACGTCCACTTACTTCTAGCTTTAAGTGTTGTTGTTGTTTTTAAAATAATGGTCCCACAGAGGACACCGTAAGCTAATATACAGTTAACTAATACAATTACTGGCAAGGACCTGTTACTACTCATTCCGTCAACAAAACAATAAAGAAAAAGTAGTCTGAAAACAATTATTAAGAAAAAAAAGTTTTCAGCATATGTGGAAGCATACTGTATTAAATCAGATATTGGCGGTGAATGCAGGCAGCGTCCCTTATCCACATGGAGACTAACAAAGAAAATAATGTAAGCCTGACAGAGTGACATGTGTGCTCCCCTATGACGGCCCCTGCTGCAGCATCCCTGCCTGTGGGCAGACAACCTGCTGTCTCTTCAGCCACATGCCACCCCACAATACCTCTCTCTCCTATGCCTTCACACCCAGAATAAAAGCCCTGTAAGACCAGGCAAACCCCAAGCCTGCAGGCCTCACGCTGCTTATGTGGATCAAAGACTGAAACATTGGGGTTTCTCTGTTATAGACGTGTGCCTGACAGTAGCGTGGCGTGGGGAAAAATGTAGGGGAAGCCCATTTTTTGGGTCGGGGGGTGGTCAATAACGTAACCAGATGAGTGATTACAGCGCCCGGTATCATTTTACACACATTTGTATCACACAGATGCAGGACTTGCACACGCCTGTTATCTAACCGAAAGGTCCGCACGCACTCTCCAGCTGAAACTCTCCTTATTAATTTAAGCATTTTACTTATTAATGTATGCAGACAATCACACAATCTATGTGATTTTTGGATTTACCGTGCCTCTCAATTGCCCGTGACAGGTTGGCAAGGTCGATTAATCCTGAAGTTGCCCAAGGATTGTTCAGGGAGCACGAATCCTTGTCAAAAAGAAGACATGTCCAGCAAATTAGACGCTGAAGTTTAGCGCTTCCAGTTAGCCACTCCGTGCGGACATAATTGTCCTCATTGAACGTCCGATTCTCTCCCTTTTTCCTCTGCGTACACACAGCTCGAGTGCGGGCATTTGCCTGTCATCTGATTTAATTTTTAGTTGCTGCTGTAGCGGAAGTTTAGTAAAGTTATGTTTGATTAAGTACGCCAAATCTCCACCCTCCATAATGCTTCATTTGCTTGATAATTTCTAACGGCGGTGATGACAGTTACAGTATTAAAACTGATGTTGATGTGATTTGATTGGATGGCAGTGTCCAATCAAATCGCCAGCCGCCAGCCGCCTCTGAAGGGAAGCAAGAGGCGGCTAGCTTCCCTTGGCATGGCCCTGACCAATCACAGGTTGGCAGGGGCATCACGTGGGCCTCATCTGATTGGTCAATCCCTCCATTTTTTTTCACCAAGGGAAGCTAGATTCGGCTGGCCTCCTCTCGCAACAGTGAGTGCAATCTACTGTTTCACCATAACATCTAGAGGGGCGCTGTTTGTTTCACTCTTTGTAAAATACTCAATGAGAATGGGGGAGAGCCGGGCCGGCAGCAACACACAGCAAAGGAGAATTATCGAAACAAAACAAAGTGTTTTTATTTATTTATTTAAATTATAACTACAATCCGAAAAAACAGGGGAAGCCTGGCTTCCCTTGGCCTCCGGGAGAAAACGCCACTGGTGCCTGATTATACAGAGGCCAAACAAACGCACACCCCCACCCCATTACATCCTTAAAAACTCCCCCAGTCCCTGCCCACTCCTTTGCCTCTTACCAAAGCACTTCCCAGCTGCTGTGATTTGAATATGAGGGCCCCTCCAAAGAAAAGAGGGCATCTGGCACACGCCTTAAAGGCTAAGAAAAAGAGTTAAACTGCTCCTGTCATGGAAATGTTCTAAAATAAGATTAAGCCTCTTTAAAAAGGCAAAGCGG